CTAAAGTGGAGAGAGCAAGTTAACCACATTCAGTTACCCACTGCCTAATTACATTCTGCAATTAAAGATTGTGTAACCATTTGCGTGAGTGCCTTTGAGTACAGGGAAGCTTTCAATATTTACAGTGGAATTGTTTCCGTGGGATAATTATCATCTTACAGGAAAAGTTTGCGTTAATTGCAGTTCATATTTCCATAATGTAGAGCTCAGCAACCTTGAGCTCTCACTTATTAGCTAACGGCCTGAACTGATTGTAAATGTTTAATGGAAACAGATGCAATCGTAAAGTGTCCATCCATCCTCGCTGTTCATTAATAGCCGGTGTCACGAGCAAAGCAGACGAAGAAAGTCAGAAGATTTTCCAATTAGTTCTTAATAATTAATACTCTGACATGGCTGAAACTCGCATCTCCAGCCATCAGCAAAGGGAGGGAGAGCTGCCAATCTCCCGGCATGGATTCCACACGTCAACGTGCTCCACGGGCAGCTGGGCGATCACTTTCCTTTCGTCAATCGCGTCAATCACTTCCGTCATCGCTCTGCCTCCTCTGATCGCAGGTGCGGAGAGACTCGCTGATGACACAACTGTTCAGTGCTTGTCACAGTTTCCCTACCTTCAAGTGATTCTGCTCCTCCGCCATTTTATTGGTCAATGTCAACCAGTTGTAAACTATTATGTTAGAATGAATAATTTCACCAACAAAATACACTGTCGTTCCACTTCACAGTATATCCCATGAAGTGCTTTGAGACTTCTCGATGACCTGATGATGCTCTATGTCTCCTGACATGGCAGAAAGGCAGCAAATGATCACACCTGGTTAGTGATGGAGTGGGCTCAATGGGCCCACTGCCGCCTTCTGCTCCTACGCACACTTTACAGTAAAATCCTGTGAAGCGCTTTGAGATTGGGAACGGAGCCAGTGTTTAGGATGCGTATTGCAACTAGGAAGAACCAGGAGATTTAATAGAGGTGTTCAAAATTATGAGGGCTTTTGGTAGAATAAACAGGGAGAAACTGTTTCCTCTGGCGGGTGTATCAGTAACCAGAGGACACAGATTTAAGATAATTGGGAAAAGAACCAGAGGGGAGATGAGGAGAAATTGTTTTACCCAGAGAGTTGTTACAGTCTGGAACGCATTGCCTGAAAGGATGGTGGAAGCAGATTCGATAGTAGCTTTCAAAAGGGAATTGGACAGGGACTTAATAGGAAAAAAAATTGCAGGCCTATGGGGTAAGAGCGGGGGAGTGGGACTAGTTGGTAGCCCTTTCAAAGAGCCAGTGCAGGCACAATCGGCCAAATGGCCTCCTTCTGGGCTGTAAGATTCTATGATTCTAGTCCTGACAGAAATTATTAAAAGGCACAAGGTGGGAAAGGTAAATTACTATATCATGGGAAACTGACATCTGCTTATGTGAATTACGCCTTAACACAAGGGAATTTTTTTTTGAATGTAAGACCTTTCAGAGTGTAACACAATTCATAAACTGAACAGTATAAAACGAACCTTCTGTTAAAGGATCACATTGTACTCAGTCACAGAAGATGAGTGAAGGAGCGGTAACTTCCAAGCCCACAAAAGGAGCTATAAAAAGCCTGCTCTTGGACTGAGGCAAGCCTGCTACAAGGCACCGTGTCTGTCAGAATCTACAAGAAATGGTAAAATGATAAATATAAATGCCTAAAGAGCCTCTTTCCTTCAAGGAAATAAATTTGTCACACTTTAGTCTACTTCTGTGAGGCAATAGCTCAGCCATCTCATTCATCGTACTGTTAGCTGCTTGGAGGTTGTGACACATGTACGATTAAGACAAAGTTTAGTCTGTAACTTCCAGTCTGCAACCTTTGAGCTTCAAGTCATGACTGATAGTGTTTGCGATGTGATTTCAGCTGTTGTATCCCCGTGGCACAGCCACACGCACTGAATTCTAAAATGACCAGAAACCAGAGTAGCACATCTGTTTTAACAAGCAGCCATCACATTCTGTTGACTGACGCTCTCCCCCCATCTTCCTCGATTTTTCTTCCAAGACCAGATTGGAGTCCTGTAGCTCAGTTGTTAGAGTGCTCTCCTTGCAAGCTATCGGACCTGGGTTTGATTCCCGGGCAGGGCAAAACGTTGGGCAAGTTTCCTTACACCACACGTCTCTATTTACCTAGCAGTAAGTAAGAACTCAGTTGTTAGTCGATTGGCAGATCACTTTCCGGGGGTAATAATCCCTTAAAAAAATAAAATAATTTGGTCACTCAATCCATGACAGTTTGTGGGACACTGCTGTGCACAATTGACTGCCAGATTTCACCCACAAATACAATATATTCTGTGAAGCAGCCGCGTTTGAGACGTCTCGGAAGACGTGATAAGGCGCTGTATCAAATGCAAGGATTATTATATATTGGGAGGCTCTGGTGTTGTTACTGACAACACGGTGTCACTCCTTGGACTGCAGTGGCTTTGGCTGATGCTGTGCATGTGTGGACTAGTTGGTGAGGCTTATTTCTGTACACACCACCACCAACATTAACTTGCATTTATGTAGCGCCCCTCACACGGGGTAGTCTCCCAGAGCGCTTGACAGTGGCGGAGCACGATGCCAAGCCAGGGGGAGCTGACCGTAGGCACGGTCGAAGAGGAAAGTCTTCAGGCGAGACATCCTGCAGATGGGGAAGGAGGGGGCAAGGTGAAGGGATTCAAGGAATGTTCCAGAGTTTTGGGGTGTAGTGGCTGAAAGCGCAGCTGTTGAGGGTGGACTGGAGGGCACACACACACACACACACACACACAAAAGGACCATCTAAAGGTGCCTCCACCCCTGGGGTTACAATCTGGTAAGTATCATGGTCCTTCCAAGTACCCGGTAATGTCCACATTGAAGCACGGGCTGATTGATGGAGGAAGCGACTGTAGTGGTGACTAATAGAAACCTCGCACGTGTCTACGTCCGTGTGCACATGTGCGAGAGCGAGCGAGACAGCAAAGTAACCAACAGCTCTCAGCTGGTGCAGCTTCTTCACAAAACAAAGGATTTGTGGCTTTAATATCCGCTGGCCTCCACCAGTAAAGCCACGGCTGAGAAAGGAGTCACCATAGATTTGACAAGAAACACTGGCTTCCAAAGAACTCCAACCTGTGATTGCATTTGCTCAGTCTGTGCCACCAAACCCCATTATTATTGTCCTTGGGATAAAACAAACAAGTATAATTTTGCTAAAGAGAATTACTTTCCAATGGGTCAAACACTTGGGACATTCAGACAGTAACAGTGGTACAGTAGGAGGTGACTAGCTCTCTAAGTACAGAGTAATTTTTTTTTGAAGAGGGGGTTAGAAATATAGTCAGGAACAAGTGCAATTAAAATAGATCAATGGAATAAATATTAAAGTCATATTTATGAGCACCTTGGAACCCATCCAATGTGTTGGCAAAATCTGATCAAGTTCACATATTACAATGGAAATGAATGGGTGAGAAATTCTGATTATAACTCAGAGAACGAGTGCTTTAAAGAGAATTTACTGCATACATTACTGCGATTCCGATATGTTTAATTAAATCTGAAATAATGGAGCTTTCCTCCCAGATAAGCAGATAATGCGACTTAAAACACAGACAATGTTGTGGGTGGTTGATGTGCCAGTGTGGTCATTCAGAAGGAAAATGTAATGAGTGTAAAGTGCTTTGTGAACACTTCATCTCACTCATCGCACAGTTCGGAGTGATTTGCATTTTGATTTATTCTTGAGGAATAAATAAGAAGTTTAACTTGTACCCTACCCCAACAGAGGCAATTAAAAGGCAACGAGGGGCTATTAAAAATAGAGGAGGAGGGAAGGGGGGGGGGGTGGGATGAACAAAAGACACAGATTAATGAAACACATCGCAACAAATTGCCGCAAAAAAAATTCCATTCATCACTAACAAGTCAAACAAGAAGCGGTGATTTTGCTCAGCGATCAACACGCAGCTCAAACGAGACCATGAAATTGGGATCTCAAAAAAAAACAGCAACACGTCATTTCAATACAGTATTTAAAAACTGCATTGAATTACTAATTTAACAAGTGGGAGGATGAAAGAACGACTTAACATTAAACTTGCTTTGCTATTCACATCCCTAGTAGAAAACCCTTTGGACCTATCGTGCTAAGTAGTGCACTATCTTTAATTATTTATTGACTCCAGTGCAGTGCGTGTATAAACACTTACACCGCCACGTACCGTTTTATGAGTTCTCGAATTATCGACTGTCACAGTGAAGTTTTACCTTTAAAATGTGAATCTTCAATCTGTCAACAGGACTTGATTTGTTTTCTGTGGGGGCGGGGGGATAAAGGAGAGGAGTTGAGCTACATTAAACACCAGTGTGAAGTATTTTCAGTCAATTTGATACTAAACTCAGGTTGGGATGTTACTCCAACAGATTTTGGTTTCAGTGGAAAATGTGCTCTCATCACAGAAATGTAGACATTTCTAAATTGTTTGATTCAGATTGCTGGTTACCCGCACTGACAATCAAAGGGTTTACTTTAAAACTAACCTCTAGAGGTGTGAGCCAGAGTAACGGAGCCAACCTAACGCTCCACCCAATTAATGGATATGTTTCCAATGGTGAAGAGAGTGCGACCTCAAGCTGGAGGACAAGCTAAACTGTGTAGCCTGCAAACCTGGGTGCTGGGCAGGGAAACACAGGACACTGCTCTGCTCAATTGGCTGCCGGGTTTCGCACACAAAATACACAGTCAATCCACTTTACAATATATTCCGTGAAGCACTTTGAGACGTCTCTAGGACATGATAAGACGCTTTATCAAATGCAAGGATTACTATATATATATATATATATATATTACAACAGATTATAACCCCAAATAAACCGGTCGAAGGTTTAAAGTGGAGAGTTGCAACCCGAATGAAGTTGACTGGGGGATTACGTGTTGCTTTTTCTTTTTAAAAGAAAACTTTTTGTTTTGTGTTTCGGCCAAAAAAACAAAATTCGCTCCCTTTGCAAGCGGTGATTTATTCTGCAATTTATTCTCAAATATAAAGTGTACAAGTTTAACATTCAGAGCGTGGCGCGGCAAGCCAAGCCCTGGACAGACTGCATAAAGGTTTTTTATTAATAAAAAGGGATCAGTCATCATGGTGAAGGCTAAATGAATACAAGGCACATCAGTAAACAATGCAACATCTTTCTTTGGAACCGGACTCAACCTGTGGGGGTGGGCAACCTCATACAGTTTGCTGATATTTTAAGCTTAAAATACTTTAAAAGCAAAATATGTAACATTTTCCAAGAACTCTCTCAAGACTTTTTCTTCTCTGCACCAAGTCACTCCGCTGCTGCAGGACAGTGCCTTAAGTACACTTAAGACCCTCCTCTTCGGTCACCCTCCTAGCCCTACCCTTCCTGCCCTCCACCCCTCCTGATCCCAACCCCCAGCTCGGGTCCAAATCCCTGATGGTCCAGCACCTCGGTACATCCTCCTGACGTGAACGGTGCTGTGTAAATGTCTTTTGTTGTTGTTGCTCTTGTTCACTGTGAAGCGGAGCGAGAACAGCGCATTGGAGCAGCCAGTGACTGGGAGAATGTCCAGAAACACACAGAGGGTCCCAGGGGAATGGGAGAGGGCTCCATTCCAGGTACCAGCTACCTCGGCCTAAGGAAGGCAATGGTTTCAGTTTACCTATAAGATTTGACAGCTTTTAGCTCTGAACTGCCTGGAACATCAAGCGGACTCTCTGTGGACTTGCGCTAGTTCACGAGATTCCAATCTGCACCCAATGGTTTTTAGCTGCAAATCCCCTCCCCCCACCGCCCCCATTCTCCTCCAAAATCCCCTTCCCTAATACTCGACATAGAACTTGCAATAACACTGTAAACCACTATTAGCTTTAGCACTCAGCGGCCCCGCCACTCCGAACTGTCGCCTGTGAGAAGAAAACAAGGAGCAGAGGAGGCAGGCGAGGAGAGCCTGAAAGTTATCATGGGGAGTGGGACAAGGTGGGGTAAGAGCGGGGGGAGTGGGACGAGGTGTGGTAAGAACGGGAGAGTGGGACTAGTTGGGGTAAGAGCGGGGGAGTGGGGACTAGTTGGGGTAAGAGCAGGGGAGTGGGAGTAGTTGGGGTAAGAGCGGGGGAGTGGGACTAGTAAAAATTTTGTGACAAAATTATATTTTTAATAAACTATCCACGGGGAGATTAAAAAAAAATTCTTGTTTTGTTGCGCTGAAAAATACAAAACATTAAAATGAAATAAGCTGCACCAAACCTTCCTATTGCTTTCAAACAGTGGAGAGCGGGTCCTGTTCTCTGTACTTACCTCCCAGTCACTGTTTGACTGGGCAGCTGCTAACACCAGGGCTAACAAGAGCTAGAAAGAGCATCAATTTCACAAAGACAACTGGCACCCGCTAAGAGCGTGATGAATTAATTGTGAAACTCTTTGGCTTCATTGCCCAGGACAGTGACGGCCCCTGTTATCTGTCCCTTCTTGTGAATCGTCTTTAGGTCCAAGTCATGATGGCCGTTCATGGGACCAACAGCAACAGACGCTATCGGCCTACAGCAACTCGGCGACAATGAACCTGGTTAAACTGAAAACTGTTCATTCAGTTGAGAATGTCGACTCGGGAAACGGGCCTTTCTCTGTCGGCAGTCACTATGTCCCGGCTGGTCACTGGACCCCCTGTTGAGAACGTCTCTCTTCGAGCATCCGACAAACCCACATAGAGACAACCTCTGCGTTCCTGTCGTTGTACTGCATGACGAAGGGATGAACCTGGAGACAGAGAGAGAGAGAGAGAGAGAAAATCAGGACTAAAACAGAAAACAGAACAGAACCAATATTGTTCTGTAAGTTTTGGAGTCCTGTAGCGTAGTGGTTAGATCGCTTGCCTCACAAGCGAGAGGATCCGGGTTCGATTAAGCGGGGCAAAACCTTAGGCAAGTTTCCTTATTCCACACACACGCCTCTGCTTACCTAGCAGTATGTAGGAATACAGTTGTTATTGGCGGATCGCATTACGGGGGTAATAATCCCTAAAAAAAATCACTCAATCCACGACTGTTTGTGAGACGCTGCTATGCACAATTGGCTGCAGCGTTTCGCCCACATAGGAAAATGAGTGATTTCCCTACACTTACATATCTAAGACCCACAATGTTGAAAGCAGAACCAATCGTCCACGAAAAGACCCAGAAACTTATCCTTTCAAGCCCCCCACCAGCCTGGGTACAAGGTAGCCCTGTGTTTCAGCAACCTAGACACTGCCCTTCAACTCTAGAATTTAAAGCCAGGCTGAATATTCAATAAAGGACACATACACTCAACTGATCCTTATGAGGGATTCCGACTGTCTGCCTCAAATCCTGGGGGAAGTGGGACTGGAGGAAAAAGCTGTTCCTAATTTGCTGCTTATGAGAGGTCTCAGCTGAAGAGTGTTGGAAAATGAGCCCCAGTTGCTGCAGTGAAGGTTGACTACCTGACCCTGGAACCTTTAATACTGAAAACAAAATGAATACACTTCATTCTCTCCAGCACAGCAGCACATGACCCAAGGAGCGAAAGGGGGGAAAACACTTAGATATGCACTGGATCCGAATGAGCAAGAGAACCTGCCCTTTTTATTAAATGTTAGTTTACCGCACACGCTTACAAGTGCGTGTGCCTTGTTCAGTGGTTTGTGATGAGCTGCCAACGTCCTCGACAAGAGAAAATAATAAAACACACTGCGCCGTTAAAGGTCACAAACCGAGCAGTAAAAAAAAGTTGCTCCACATGTCAGGACTCAAAGAGGAATGGAAATTGAAAAACTTTTTTTTCTCTCTCTCCTGAAATAAGAAACTTTAATTTTTAGTTGACAGGTTGAACTGCCGATGCCCTCCTCTCTGTCTACGATTTATTCCTCACACCAGCCACAGATAAACACAAACAGGAGTCCTGTAGCTTAGCGGTTAGAGCACTCGCCTTGCAAGCAAGGTACCTGGGTACGATTCCCGGCAGAGCGAAATGTTGGACAAGTTTCCTTACTCCACACACACGCCTCTGTTTACCAAGCATAAGGGGTTGTTAGCCGAGATTGTGAATAATTTTTCCGGGAGTAATAAGCCCTTCAAAATAAATAAATAATTTAGTCACTCAATCCACGACTGTTTGTGGGACACTGCTGTGCCACATTTCGCTGCCAAAATATAAAGTCAATTCACTTTACAGTATAGTCCGTGAAGCGCTTTGAGACATCTCGAAGATGTGATAAGACGTTGTATCAAATGCAAGGATTATTATTATTATTAATAATGACCCACTTGTCTCACCTTCCTCTTTCTCTCCCCACACCCACACAGACCTGAACTCACACTCTCTCTCTTGCAAATAACTCCGGGCACATAGGAAACCACCTCGCCATGGGTGCTCTGCGCCAAAGCAGCGACCAGGCAGACTGTGTGCACTGTACACATAACCAGGTCACCGGCAGAGCCTGGGCACTGCGGCTGGAACTGACATCCCACCTTCCAGCCGCCTCATTTTAAACCCGACACAAATCACATCAAAACAGCTTGCGGCAATTCACAGAGCCGTAACTTACACAGGCAAGCGCTGAGGGCGATCCGAGATATTTGATGCGCGCACACATATTCGTACGCACACACGCTCACAACACATACACTTGTGCACATATTCTGCAATCCCATGTACAGCCGGGAACAGTGTGGGGGTGGGGCCGGGGGAGGGGGTCGTTGTCTGTCAGGAAGGAGCTCTTTCAAGCCTCACTAGCAAATATCTGGGGAAAAAAAATCAGGCAAATTCTAGCAGGCGATTTTCTGACACTGTGTGGACCTCTGCGGGCGGCAGGGAGAAGGGGTCAGCAAGTGGAGGCCAGGGCAATGGGCTGGAAAGCGCTGTGCACAGCCAGTGTCAGCCAGCCTAATTTTCTGTGTCAACTTTGAAAATTAGGTAAATGGTGACAAACCGGCCTCTTAAAATCAACTTGTCACTTCTCATTTTCTTGAGAAAGGGGGTAATCCTCCGGCTACCAGCAGCCAGCAGTGATTTCTAATAGAGGTTAACCCGCAAGGCTAACAGCAGAGAACACACATACAAACAGTCTTACACGAACGGGAAGGCACAACATCTGGTCTATTGAACACACACACACAGGTTGCATACAAAAGATCTCTGATATAGATCGACATTGGGAACCTATGCATATTTTATATTTGTTTGACTTATTTTCCTGTTTTACTCTTTATTGTGTGTGATGCGCATTTGGCTGCCTACAGAGCACAGAGATCTGCTCTCCTTGAGAACTCTGGCTCTCACTTTTAATCCCCGAAAGTGTCAAATAATAATAATAATAATAATCCTGGCATTTGATATCGCGCCTGATCACGTCTTCAAGATGTCTCAAAGCGCTTCACAGGATACACTGCAAAGTGAATTGACTGTATATTTTGTGGGCGAAACACGGCAGCCAATTGCGCACAGCAGCGTCCCACAAACAGTCATGGACTGAGTGACCAAATTTTTTTTTTTTAAGGGATTATTACCCCTGGAAAAGCAATCTAACAACCGGGTTCCTACTGACCGCTAGGCAAACAGAGGCTTGTGGAATAAGGAAACTTTGCCCAATGTTTCGCCCTGCCCATGAATCGAACCCATGTCCTTTCACTTGCGAGGCGAGTGCTCTAACCACTAAGCTACAGGACTCCACTTAATAACAAAAATAATAATAACAAGGCTCTTTGCAGGCAGAAATATACGGGTCAGAGCAAGGTTATAATCCAGATTTTTTTTGTGGTAAAAAGCATCGATCCACATTACGTTCCGTGGAATGAATGATCCAATATTTCTCATGAAATTTCACAGTGACCTCCAGTTCCTACAGCCTCTATAAATCCCTCAAACACTGTGCTTCACTGTAACAAATATCCCACCAATATCAGGGAGGAAATATACCTACCACCAACCTCTCCTTCCCATTCCCTGAGCCAGATCAATAAATAGTCCTTGCATTTGAACCATCACCTACTACGTTGCCTAAATATCAAAGCGCTTCACAGGGAATCGCTGTCAAATGTAGTGACTGTGTCCCCAGGCAAACGCAGACTCCAATTTGCTCACAGCGAGCTCGCACAAACAGCCACAAAGTGAATGAACGGCCAACGTTATTGTAACAGGTTGTGATGATGATAATAATAATTCTTGCATTTGATCCAGCGCCTTATCAAGTCTTTGAGACGTCTCAAAGCGCTTCACAAAATATACTGTGAAGTGTAGTGACTATATTTTGTGGGCGAAACGCGGCAGCCAATTGTGCACAACAGTGTGCCACAAATGGTCATGGATTGAGTGCCCAAATTATTATTATGTGTTAGAAAATTTTATTTTATTTTTTGGAAGGGATTATTACCCCTGGAAAAGCAATCTGCCAATCGACTAACAACCGGGTTCCTACTTACTGCCATGTAAACAGAGGAGCGTGGAGTAAGAAAACTTTGCCTAAGGTTTCGCACTGCCCGGGAATCGAGCCAAGATATCCTTGCTTGCGAGGCGAGCTCTCTAACCAATATGCTATAGGCCTTCAGTGTTATTGTAAGAGGTTTTCAGTGACCGACATATATTCTGCTCAATACTTTATGCACATCTGATAAAACGGGGTTTATTTGGTAAAATAATTCTCACTATAAAAGGATTTTTTCTTAAGTACAGTATTTAAAGCACTGATCATCAGCGTGTGTTATCAGAGTGCTACGTGATCGAATGCACCGAGACCTTGGACCCACTGCGGAAAGCCTTCACACGCATAAGTGTAATGAACCTAGGATCCCAAAACATTATACTGTACATTAACCTATCATTAATGGCACATTAGGGCTGAGGGCATAGCACGCTCTCTGGTCAGAGCTTCATCAGGACAGCACTGAATCTTGGGAGTCTGTTGAGACACTTAAAGGAACTTGAGAGAGAGAGAGAGAGAGAGAGATAGGGAGCTGATGAAAAATAAGCAGTAATGTGCTTCAAATTTGAAAGGATTCATGCTATTTGTACCACAATTCTGCAAATGAAATTAGATCCCCTCTCACAGGATCGCCCGATTGGTGAAGTTTCTTACTTGGAACGTTGCACACCTCTGAAGACTTATGGAATGATAGAAATTACAGCACAGGATGCCATTCAGCCCATCAAGCCTATGCCATTGCCAGTTCCCTGTCCTAATACCAATCCCCTGCAAAAAAAATTGGGTCAATCTATCCACGACTGTTTGTGGGACACTGCTGAACACAATCGGCTGCTGTGTTTTGCACACAAAATACACAGTCAATTCCTGATGTATGGCGTGAACCCACAACCCTCTGACACAGAGACTCCAGCGTTTGGTCCTGGGTACTGGCTTTCAGAATGTGCCCTGTGTGACTGTAATATTTATGTAGTGTGGTTGTGTCACTCTCAAAGAATTAAATCGAAAACTGTGTCCTGGATGAGGAGGAATAATTTGCATCACCTTGAAAGGTGGAGGGAGGGAGGGAAGGAGGAAAGGAGGGAGGTAGCACGGAAGTAAGATACCACACTCAGAGGGCTCTTCATTCAGTCCTGCCCGATAATCAGTAACCACAATAATTACAACAGAGGCACAAAGCAAACAAGCGCACACTGCGGTCAGGGGAAGGCAACGTGGGGATCAATAGTGTTCTAACAATCGTGTTGTTACTATCCACTGAGATTCCTATTGTTTTACTGCGGCATATCATATTTCACATCCCCCGGGGAAGGCACAGGCA